GGAGTAGGACATGCAGTAGAAGGATGTCAGTGCATGGACCTGAGAATCTAATGAAGGGGAAGGAATACACTAGGAGGGAAGAGGCAGGCAGGAGGAGAAACAAACCTCTTCTGACCCATTCTTATGGCCTGGAAAAAAATATTCAGGTACTCTCTACAGTGCTGACAAAGTTTGAGAAGTGCGTGCCCCAGTTCAGTACTGATTTTCAAGTTATCTGTAGTTGCAAGTTTACTTTTCATAATGCAGGCTATGTACCTGCCCACACAGAAACCGTAAGTTAATCAGGGGGAGAGAGTTACCGACAAAACAAGAAGTTAACAGGGTGAGGTATAGAAGCTCCTTGCTAGGCTCAGAAACTGTGTCTGAGCTCCCTCTAGTGAGATGTGTGCGTCTACTACGCTCAAAGATCACAGACCAAAGCTCACATACCTCTTGATTGAATCGCTAAATTCAAACCCAAATACTTCTAAAACAAACATGCAAACGATCTTTGTACCTGGCCTATAAGAGGTCACATCAATTCTGCTTCACAAGCTAAGCTCTTATTTTTAGAAGTTTCTAGAAAAGTAATGAGAACAAATGTAGTTTTAATGGTGTTAGAGACAAATGAAAACTAGACTGTTTGCAAAGCACTTGCAAAACAGAAGCAGCAGGCTTGTATAACTTCCTACTGCAGGTAACATAAGTATTTTCTAAAACACAGAAGGGAGTGTGGTAGAGGGTTTTTAGCATCATGAATGCAAAACAACTGTCAAGTAAGGCTGGCATATAGATCAGTTTACTTGATACCTTATAGAACAAGCAAAGGGGCGAATCACTGTTTTAAAAAATCAGACTGCTCAGTTTTCTACATGGCAAATAAACTCTCTGGCAGTTTATTTATTTCCTCCTGGAATGATGAATGGATGGGGCCTTTTTTTTGTGCAATGAGCTTAAGCTACAGAGGCCAGGAAGTGCTACCCCACTTCCTGCAGGCACACACATCTACCTATGTTTTTCCCCACAGTGGGAGGAGAAAAGGAATTCTTGTGTTAAAACAACCCTCAGCTATCTTGTGGTGACTGTGTGTCCTTCAGCTCTACTGGTGATTTGCTGTGACTTTACTTCACGTGTCTGTAGCATATAGGTCCCTTTGTCTTGGTTGTTGCCTCTTGTCTGGGCACTACTGGTACTAGCAAGCTGTGGACATTAGCATTACTGTTTCCTGCTACTGCTGGTTTCTGGCTTGCTGTCATTTTTGCCACACTCACACGACTGCATTTTATTGTGTTACTCAGCCACAACCACAAATTAACTCTTGTTCATATATTCATCCTTTTTCAAGAAGCCTGTGCCATCAAAAAACCACTTCTCTCTCCTAGATGTGTTCCACTAAGAACCTTTTACAGTCTTACCTCTTCTGGGTACAGCAGAGAAGTCGTTCCATTAAAGTTCCTGTCCTCACACTGCCCTACCTCACTGAGAACTCATTTCTGGAGTTCTCAGATCCAAGACACGTTAAGGAGTGGGCAGGACAGCAGCCATAAAGTTAATCGAAGCAGGGTGAAAAGTTGTTATGCCATCAGCCAAAGGTGAGTGAAAGCTGTAGGGGTAGTTCATTTACCCAAATAAGGAAGAGAATGAAGAACTGAAGCTTTGCATTTGACATTACGAAGCGGCAATATTTCCCTGCCCACCATATCAGACTTGTCATAGGCTTACCCATAGGAGGTTTGTAGGTTTGTCCACCTGATTTTACAAAAGATCTCAAAAGGAGAAGAAGCAACAAAAAGCTGTGGTAGAAGAAACCACTGCATTATCTCTCCACCTCCCAGGCTAGTTCATGATCTGATCATACACTAAGTGTTTCAATGGAATTTTCCAAAGCAGTTGCTCTGTCCTGTCCTACAAATCCAATGGTAATTGGAGACTTCCAAGGAAAGTAACAGCCCCACTGACATCTGCGCTCAGTCACCAGCTCTCCGTGCTGCCTACAATATGCTAAAGTTTCTAGGTTTGATTTTAGCTAAAATGACTAATGCTGAATGAGCTGTGATGTATAACAAGAAAAAAGCATGCGGAATGAAAAGTACCTTAAAAATGATTTGGCGCAATGTGGTCAGGTTTTGTATCAGAGAAGGCAATATAATGCTGAAACCATCTAGCCTGCAGCTGTGAAAACACAAGAGAGGCATAAACCCAAGTTCATGGCAGCATGCCAGAGCCTTCTTAAAAAAATGGCACATCACTGAAATCAGGTGCTGATGTAGCACCACCAAAGGCTCCTTATGGGCCTGGAGACAAGAGTGCCCTTACATTTCATTATATACCTAGCAGCAATACCTGCCTCCACAGAAGGAAGGGTATTTCTAATGATCACTCTGTTATATCTGATAATGGTTCCATACCCCAGTAAATATGAACAGCTTTGGTTGTCCTTACCCTTTTATTTAATTATAGAACACACTGGAATTTTTACTTTCTATGAAAAATGACCTAACTTCCTTATAGGAATAAGTAACAAGATTTAGTAGGTGAAGCTGAAACTGAAACTAGGACATTTTAGTTTAAAAGAAGGCCTTATTAGGATTTAAGCATGTAAGTGTCCTGAAAACAGGCCATAGATGCTCATCACTTTAAACAATTAAGAACAGATGCTAAATGTGCATGTCTGGTTCAGAGAACATCACAGATAACCTGAAATGTACTCCCAAGCATTGAGGTAAATTGAGGATCACGTGGCTGAGCACTGAAATCAGCTGCAGCAGAGAAATCACCAAGCATTGCTTAGATCTGGGGAGCAGACTTGTGCTCTTTGGCAGCTATTACGGTCATGCAGTGTGGACTTATTTTCCTCTCATTAACGCTTCAGTCCTTTCCTGTATTTTTAAGTGACCGATTTGTATTATGCACAGACAGAAACAAAGACTATTGTTACTTCAAGCGGTTCTGTTTCAGCTGCAGACCCCAGTCTGCACCACTGAATAAAAGGCATCTCTTCGACTTCTCTTCATGGCCCCTGCGTTGCAATCCTGGGGAACAGACAGGGTCTCCAGCTCCGGGGCTGAGCCCGGCTGCCTCAAAGCCGGCAGGCGGCACTGCTTCCTTGTGCTGCCTCTGGTTTTCAACGGTTTAACCTTTATATATGCCGCTGATGTCGGTGCATGGACTGCACAGATGTGCTCTGTCCTATTTAGGACTGCTTTTCCTCATTAAGGCCAGGACTGCAGAGCTGTTGTTTTTTTTTCTCTTGGTGTAAGTTGGGAGGGAATAGGAAAAATCCAAAGAAGGGCAAAGCGTGTTAAAGGTTCCATTTTTTAAGCTGCAGTCTGGAAAGTACTTGCTGCACAGAGGTCAACATTTGTTTTGAAATAAAAATCTGGATGCCTTTTTGGGTTTGAGGTGTCTTCTTATCAGCATTCTCAGGGACTGTAGTTAACCATTTTGTAGGAGTTCTCAGTAATCTCTGTTCTCCGATATCAGCCTGTGCACATGCCCTGTTTTCTCTCTCTTGAAGGGACAGCAGAGAAGAAGGAAGGAAATAAAGTGAAAAATGATAATTTCTGCTAAATACAAGACTGGGGATGTGCACATAACTAAACCAAACACAAAAAGAAGATACTGTTATATCTGGCCTCTTGCTCAAACAAAATTGTCTCTAGCTTTTCCCTCTGTCTTCCTCCAGCTCCTAGAAGCCATCAAGCCGTGCCCACAGCTCACTCCCTCTGTCTCCAAACTCCACTTGTGTCCTCTTCTAATTTGCCTCTGTTTTGTGTTTTCTCTGGTGCACGTGGAATCGCCACATGTGCAGAAAGAACATGGACCACATGACCGCACACAGTTACCCACATTTTACTGATGGGCAAGGGGAAATCCCTTGGTTTGATGTGGAAACGTATAGCCAAGAATTCATTTTGATTCTTCACAAGTGTCTTTCAAAAACTGGAACCACAAGTTTTTGCTTGCAAATAGCTAAAAAGTCCTCCTGTGTGTATGACATTTATCTTCCTCAGATAACACTTGGAGGATCTCCAAAGGACTTTGGTTAGGGTTTGATGCAAGACATGTTAATAACCTCTTAATCTTTGCAATACCTGTTTTGCTGGCTAAGTAATTGATTTAACACTATTTTATGGTTATAAACAATATCTGTGCGCACTGTAATGGACAATAAATACTGATCCTGAAATATTCAAATGCAGGTAAGTATGTAGTCAAAACAACCAAACAAATCTAATGAAGATGTGGCTTTTTATATTTAACCTGTAGTTTCTCAAGCTTCTTAAAATAGTTGTTTCTTCATAGCCACAAGGGACAGAAATTTTTATATTAAAAACATCAGAATCTAGTAAAAATATACACCCATTAGTTGAGACTATAAAAATGGGGTAAACCATGAAAAGTTGGAAGTAAAACACGCAGAAGAGACCTTCAGCTCTGATTATCAGTCTTCTGGAGGCAACTGATTGCATAAAACATCTGAAATCTCAACTAACATATTGTGTAATCACTTCGTGGCAGATAAGGATTCTGGACTGCAAGAAGGATATCCCTAAACGACCCTTACAAATAAGGCCCACAAGGAGTTTCTCTCTCATTCAATTCCAAAAGCCATAGCTGTGATGTTTTCAGTTTTATTCCCTCCCATTCCCCTGGGCCCTTTTGCTTTCTCCCAGGCTGAGCTAGCTTCACTATTAAATACAGCTGCCTCTCTCCCACACTCACATGGTTCCCTATGGCAAAGGACTGTGGTATGGATGGCACAAAGGCTTCATTGGACTGTTTATAAATACATGAGTGGAAGGGAAAACAGCAGAAAAATTTATAGTGAACATGTTATTACAGACTTCAGCATTAATCACTAAGCAGCTTCAGGAATGTTGCTCTGTGGATCTTGCCACCCTAGAAACTTCCTGAGGCACTTTGGAAATTTTCCAAGATGCCACCAGACTTCTGGCCAAGCAGCAATGCCTTGGGCCTACATCCAAATCTCAAGCGTAGTCAAGAAAAGCTAAACTTACCTTAAGTCCACTGGGATTTACAACTAGTGGTAATTTTGTTTTCCTCACCTACATCAGACATTTATGATGGCTCAGATGTCCAGGAAATTAGTCACGCACTGATGGAAGCAGGGCAAATTCCCGCTATGGGTGGAACCAGAAAAGTCATAGCCATCACCTTCCCAGCTGCAACCTTGTGTCCAAGGTCAGTTGAATCCAGCTCCTCCCCAGAACCTGTTAGAAGTCAGACATTGCCAAGAAGCTTTGAGAGACCTGATTGCTCCTCCCATGACTGCCAAAGTGAGAGCGGGCAAGCAAGAATCAGTCACCTAGAGGGGCTGGCAGAACAGGCAGGGAGCCGGCAAGAACCGCTCAGATTACCTGCTTTTCCCTCTTCTTTCACTTTTTAAAAGGGACACTCATTCTGCGCAGCGTAGCAGAACCGATTACACAACACAGGTTTCAAACTGCTAATTACAGTGGATGCTTCTGCCTCAATATCGCTGGAGGGAAACATTCATGCAATGCAGCCATGGTGTCTGTGACAACAGCATCATGTGCCATGCTGATCAAAACTAGTTCATGGCTAACTTTTAGTGTCACCCTTCCCGGTGGTAATTACACCTTAGAATTAAAAAGGAATCATCACCAAGGCTGTGTGCAAACACCGTGCTCAGATGAAACAAGGAACTCAATAAGCAAAATAGTGTAGCATTCATTAATGATCTACAGCATATGTTTTAAAAAAGTCTAATTAGTTTAAGGGCCAAAGGATGGAACTTCTATGATCATTCATAACTGGAACGAGGTCAACAACAGATGAAATTACCCAGCCAGCACGAAAATGGTGAAGTGCAGGAAAATGAAAACCTGCTATTAAAATAGATTTCCAGCCTCTCTTGCTAACCCACCTGGAAGGGAAAATGCAGTAATATCAGGGTGTCAGTGTCATGAAAAGGAATTAGGCATGGTCATGCTAATTTCTGGTTTCTGAATTGCAGTGTTATAAGAATCAAAGAGATAAAATCTACACCAGGACGGTAAGATACAGAAACAACAGAGAAGTTAGAGCAGCCAGTTGCGGGATTCTTTCAGTATGGCTTTCATTGAGAAAGTGTGAGATAGCTTGAATTTAATTCATGTTGGTGTCAAATCACACCAGTAAGATGTTTTCCTCTTTTTAGCACCTTTATTTAAGTCAAGAGTGTCTCAAAGCATTTCATTATTTTTAGGTAGGTGTCAAAAGCAGTGGAAATTAAATTCCTGTGCAGGGCTGCACTGCAATTGTGGGAGGAAAGTAAGCACCCTTAGACCCCAGCCATGTCCTGTCAAAGTATGGGTCAGGAGTGCAGCACCTGGGGAGCAGGGCTGTTCTTACACTGGTATTCCCTGTGCAATGTACCTGGGAAGTGGAAGAAGGGGAGCAAGGTCTGCCTGTGTACTCAGTGGCTCTGGTTTACAGAGATGTAGACAGATAATAGGAGCGAAGCATATACAGAAGCCTCATGATATCGTGGCCTTGCACCACAAGCAGCATGTGCTTTAAACATGAGTTATAAACATCTGTTTTAAACATTAATTATAATAGTAATAAAATGCATACCTCCAAGATTAGCAGATCAAACATACCCATACAAGAATTTCTGTGCAAGAGTAGTGAGAATATAAAAATCTGGCTTTGCAGTAGCTAGAGATGATGTCGCAAGACTATCAAAAGGCTTTTTCCCATTTTGCTGTGATTTTATTTTGGAAGAAAACAGACTAATACTCGACGTGTTCTGATTTTGATGCAGCTGCATATTTTAAAGTAAGGTAGCTCTGTTGCTGCTTCTCTGAAGAGCATTATGCCTCAAATCCCAGAAATAAAGCTGCTCATACTTTGTGATTTGGCCTTTTGATACCTATGTATTATGATGTTGTCTTTAATTACATTAACATACCCTGTTGTCTCCAAGGATTCTTGATCATGAAGTCACTGGGAAGCTACTCAGTATTCTTTTTGCCTTCCTTATTCAATGAGTGGATTCAGGTCTTAGTTAAAATGCCTGCTCCACATCAGATTCTGCTTATGAAACTATTCACTTGAAGTTATGGATTAGCACTAATTTAACTACAGTGTTTGAAGGCTTTCCTGTAAATGTTGAGGTATTGCCTTAAAAAGATAGGCTTGATCTCTGCCAGCAGGTTTGCACAATTTGAGAGAAAGATGCTCTACAATGTACGTGAAGCTAGTGCAGGTTGGGCCAAGTACATATGTCATGCATGGGCCATTTCTTGTTTTGAAATGATTTTAAAATTCAGATGTAGTTAAAATGGAAATCTGCAGTAAATCTAAATAAAATTCCCTTCCTAAGGAGGAAAACTCAAAAGGAAACAAACAATGTCTCTTAGTGATAATATGCGTTCCTGGTGACATTTCAAGTCTAGTCTGTCAGTAATGCGCTTTAAGAAAGCAATGCTTCTCACAGTAACAGAAGCAGGAGCAGCAGGAGTCTGACTGTTTTTTAGAATGAGATATTTGAGGACAAGAGGCAATAAGAAACAGCCTGAAGAAGGGACCACACAGTCACATCCCTTCCTCATCCCTCCCTCCTCAGTTGGAATAAATTTGCAGCAAAGAGTATTTCATCACAAGGAAAATCCCAGTCATATGACCTATTTTCATCTAATTATATGACCTGCCTTTCCCCTTCCCCTACTTAAGGGTTTTTTTACCATTTACTGAACATGTGCCTTGGAAATCATGACGTGCTGAAAAGCAGGTACCTCTGTGAGTTGTGCTGAGTACCTCAACTCTTGAAGATCTCACAGTGAATTTTAATAGGGCTTATAGGGTTATTCATTTAATGTCCATTTCTGGTTTTTCTATGTGACATAGGGATAGGGACCATTAAATGGTGCCCCCTATATACTTAGTACTCCCAGCATCAACTGAAAAGAATAGGACACGCATGGGTCCGAAAAATGGGTGCATAGAAGTGTAATGACAGCACCAAAAATGGGTGCTACCTGCTGTGACTGTATTCTTTTTTTCTATGCCAGTAAGAGATTATGATGATGTCACTGCTCTCTGCCACCACCTGGCTATGTATTAGGAAGGAAAAGGACAAAAGCTATAACCTCTACCTTCTATTAACCATTCACTTGTAAAAAGGAAAAAAACAGAACCAGCTGGCAAGATGCCTGAATCTGTCTGCAGGTAAGGGCAGTTTCCAGAGCTAGTATCTATGACAGGTGCTTCTGGAGGTGGATGCACTAGGGAATTTCTAGGTTTTGTTTGGTCCAGAAGCTGTACCTTAATTTGGCTCATTTTTTCCTTTATGTCATCCTCCAGACATTGTTTTCAAGATTTCCAGTGAATAGCTTGTGATGGGCAATTTCTCAGTGAGTCTAAGAATCTAAATCACTGCATATATCTAAATCAGTAAATACATCTAAATCAGTAAATCCTCACTAATCCGGTCACTACACTGAGTCACACAGTAGCAAAAAGCTTAATTGCTACAAATGCTAATAGTAGTTTGTATAGTTTAGTATGGGGAGAGACTTTCATATTCTCTCTGAAAGCTAGTAAAAACACTTTAGAAACCTACCTGGTCGTATTTTCCACAGTCTATTCCTGTCCATCCGTCCCTCTCTCCACCTTAGGTAGCTACTGGTAATGTTAGGACCACTAAAAGCTCTGCTCCACTGCAGATAGTATAAAGTGGGAAGGACTAACAAGAAGCCTATATACTGCAGATACCAGATGCTGAAATCCTTCAAGCAACTGGTTTTACCCTTCATTCTTGTAAGGAAAAGCAAAGATGCAAAAGCAGTCTAAAGCTCTACAGGTAGCTTAAAAGAGCTGTAAACCCTCACAGTACAGTCATTATGATGCTAAAAATACCTCCCCAAAAAATAAAAGCAGATGCAATTTCTTTACCTGATAGCACAGCACAAAACCTGGCAGGAATACTAAAGTGTATCTTCCTATTTTTCAGTGCTTCTTCTACACCCCCCCCCCCCCCCCCAAAACAGCTATCCTATTAATAGAAAACTCAAAAAAAAAGTGAAGAACAAGGAGAGTTTTCTTCCCTTCCTTTTTCAGATGCAAGGTTCATTGCAGTTAGTTGTGGCAATGCAGGTTAACCATTTCAAAGTGTGACTAGCAAGTTGCTGTTATTGCTTAAGATGTTCTGTTATTCCCATGACCACACTCACTCTAAGGAACATTAGAATGCGTACTGCTGCATCACCACAGGGATCAGCAGGGGAGGATTGTTCCTGTTACATAGGCGAGGTACTGAAACACAGGACAATTAAGTGATGCGCTTAAGACCACACAGGAAATTTGTGGGGGAACAGGCAATTAAATCAAACCCTCCCAAGTTCCAGTTTTGTGTTCGATCACTTAATCAACTCTCCCACCTACTTCAAACCAGAGCACAGCACAGCTGTTTTCTGCCACAGCCGGGTTTTTTTTCTCTTGCCCCATCAAAAAAAGTCCTGAGCCAGCTGGTTAAAAGGGCTGTCATCGTCGGGCAAGAATGGAGGGTTAGGAAAATAAAATAGAAAAGATCTTAAGGGCAGAACTGAAAAGCAAGTCGTCTGCTATTTAACAGAGCAGTTGAGAATAATAGCCGGGAAAAAAGTAACATTAAACTTGCCTTGCCTCTGTCCTAGCATAACCTGTTAAACCATACTTCAGTTCGTCATTGTGATACTAAGTGCTCTGTGACGGCAAGTGCCACAGAGCATAGCCTTTTTTCCTCAAGAAACTATTCGAAGTCTGCCCTTCTTGCTCATATTTGAATACTCTTGAAATCCTGAGGCAGTCTCGGCAGCACTGCTTCCACTCAAAACTTTCTGCATTTTTATGGTTTCCACAGTGCCTTTTTTGTGGGATCCTAAAGTTTTCTGTCCCTTCTACATATTTCTACTTAAGAGGAATCAACAGGTTTAGATTCTTAAATTCATTTTTGGGTGTGCTCGGGATAGAAATTACTTTGAAATACTTCTGGAAGGATCACAGGACATACTGTGCAGTCTCTTCTGTGCAATACAATCTCAGGCTCAGTCCTGAAGGACACTGCTTGATCTCCTGCCAGCAATACATTTGACTTGCTGTTTTGGAGTTTTATGACTGAAACTCTTAGACGTCTTTAGACAGCTTACGGCTGTTCTATTTGGTATTGAGAGACATACAGCTCCTAGTCATCTCTGTGGTCAAAGGAGCAAAGGGAAGAGTACTTGCCTCCCTGCCTGCTCTGTACTGGGAAAGGTCCCAGCAGAAAGATGAGGAGATTGAGCTGGTGGTGAGGGTGGGCTCTGCAAGGCTTATTTATGCTGCATTGCAAAATTCAGCCAGTTCACTGAAAATACTG